CAGGTATCTAAAGAACCCTTTTCTAAAACACTGCATGAAGCAGAAAATTCTTAATTTTCCTAGTTGACTTTCTTGAAGTGAACCATGTCTGAAATAATTAAGAAGTAAAAACTTCATTCACTTCATCCTTCCTACGTCCACATTAGCCTTTCTTCTATCTTTCTGCTCCTGTTTTGGGGACAGAAGAAATGAAATGCTAACATAATGCTTTTATTGCCAAGCTAGGAAAAAACCAAAATAGGCACTAAATAAAGATTTTGTTGAATTGGAGTACTTTGTGTATATTCAGCATTTTAGTCTAAGCAATAGAAAGCAGCCTGCAAATGAGTTTTAATTCACCTTCCTTTTGCCCCTTCAAAGAGGAGGTATTTCCACACTCATTTTACAGATAGAGAAACCAAGGTAAAGGGCAATGAAACACCTTGCAAGCAGGTGAGAGCATAAGAAGTATATCCCAGTGCTATTCCCCCCAGAATCATACTTTATTCTCACACTCAGCTGCCCACATGATAGCAGAAGTGTGAATTTCTCATTGGAATCTATACTCACCCACATTGCACCTGGGTAGTATTTTTTTTAACACCATATGAAAATCTCATAAGGGTATCTTTGTAGAGATGGCATGTGCCATGTGGGTGAAAAAAATGTTTCTCGGCAGTCCTTAACAATTATATTTTTCTGCCTGCCATGTGTTAGTATGTATAAGCTTAACTGCAAATCACCAGAGGGAATTTTTTCAGTTTAAATATGGAAGGAGTACAGGTACCCAAACGTGTTGGAGTCAATGTGATCTGTAAGTAACTAAAAGGTCATGGAGAACTGTATATGGAACACTTGAAAAGTGAAAAAGCAGCAAGTGGGCAGCTGTGTGAACACAAACACAAATCTCTCTCTCTCTCTCTCTCTCTCTCTCTCTCTCTCTCTCTCTCTCTCTCTCTTTCTCTCTCTCTCTGTCTCTCCTCTCTGATTCTTTCTCTTCCTCTCTCTCTCCCTTTTCTTCTTGTCTTTCTTCCCCCTTCTCTCTTCCTCTCCTCTCATTTTTCTCCCCTCTCTCTCACTCTTCCTTTCTCTTCTCTCTCTTCTCCCTTTTCTTCCTCTCTTTCCTCCTCCCTCTTTTCCTCTCCTCTCATTTCTTTCTCCTCTCCCTCACTCTTCCTCTCTCCCTCTCTTCTCTCCTCTCCTCTCTCTCTGTCTCTGTCTCTGTCTGTCTGTCTGTCTCTGTCTGTCTGTCTGTCTCTCTCTCTCTCTCACACACACACACACACACACACATACACACACACACACACAACACACACACACACACACACACATGCACACCCCACAGAGCAGTCCTAAAATGAATCCCCTGAAAGCTGGTGTATTTCTGAGAATAACTTCTATTGTGCTGATGTAAATGGGAGTCCAAATGGAAGGAAAAAATAGTCTCCTACACATGGCATAGTCCTTTGCATGTATGTATCTGTTGCAGCACCATAATTTGTAAAGAAAAAAAAGGTACTAATTTTAAGAGAAAAGTACTGGCTCACTAACACTGCCTTATAAAACCCTCAGCTCAGCTGTCTACAAAACCTGCTTGCTTGCTCTAGGGGAACAAGAATTGAAAGAAAGGAAAATTCCTCATGGAAAAATGGTTCCCCCCACCAAAAAATACCTCAAGAAAGATGAGATAATGAAGGGAAATCTGGGGTAGAAAGGAGTTTATTTTCCTTAACAAAGTCAAAGTCAAGCAAAATGAATAATCTGCCTCCAGAAATGGCTATTTAAAGGCTTTTGAAAAGGGCTCTGGTCTCTAAAAAGACAGGAGTCATTGCATGCACACCCACTCCTCACTTATTTTTAAACCTTGGCTTATATGTTCCTTAGCAACAGAAATAGATGATGAGACCCCCACACACACACCTCTCCCAAAACATAACCCCCTTCCCTCATTCCGTCAAGTGCCATTTCACAAGAAGCTCATGTTCTTCAAAAGAGCTCAGAAAAGCAATAGAGCAGGTAAGGCATTCATACTTCAAATCCTCTAACAGTCATAAGTTTCTTAACTTACTTAAAAATGGAAGACTAAGGCTATATTCAAATAAACCGACCCTTCTATAGGACAGAGTAAACACTGAAAAGTCAAGCCTACATCCATAGCAACATTCTTCAACAATCTTAACTGATGCTATGGAAAGCCTTAAATTTGGAGTCAAACAATTCAGGTTCAAATCCCAGCTCCACCAATTAATGATTATTATTTCTTGAGTAAGTTTCTTCTCTCAGTTTCCTCATTTGCAAAAGAAAGGGAATGGACTGGCAGATGTGGAAAGTTTCTTAAAGTTTCTTCCAGCTCAAAGCCTTATCCATGATTTGGGATATTGTCTCCCTCCCCACCCATTCCCCAACCCCATATACACACAACACACACACACACACACACACACACACACACACACACACACACACACAACACACACTTCATGAATCATCTCAAGTTGGAGCCATATTGTGAGCTTTTTCCTGACCCCTTTTTCTCAGGAAAAAGTAGATAATGTGCTGCATTTGGAATCAGGAAGGGAGGCCTGGGTTCAAAGCTTGCCTCAAACACTTACTAGCTGTGTGACCCTGGACAAGTCACTTAAATTCTCTAGGTCTCAAAATCCTCAACTGTAAAATGAGGGGGATGGTTTCAATAACCTCTAAAGCCCCTTCCAGCTCTAAATCTATAATTTTATGGTCCTGTGATGCTATGACCCTCACCTTCTCCCCCAGGTGCTATCAGAGCTGAGGTAAAGGCCTCCTTCTAGGCAAGCAGACACTAAACTTCACAAAAAAAGCTTTCTTTCCCTTCCATTCAGACCATCTCTGAGCATGCTCAGGGTTCAGGCCAACTGTACTTGACTCAGATGCAGATGGCTATCAGGGAAGGTAATCTTTCCAAGTTACCCGGAGCAAGAATAATCTGTAGGGGTCTTTTGCCTTCATTCTCTTGCTGCTGCACCTTCCACCTACCATCTGACCCTATTTTGTAGGCCATAAGGAATAAGGTCAAAGGTCATGGCTCCCAAAACAACAGGGAAATCTTTTCAAGATCTTCGAAAATCAGCAAAGATTTTTTTTAAAGGGAAATAAAGCTTAAAAAGCACCCACCTCACTAAAATGAATTCAAAAGCCTATTGTTATGCACTCATATAAAAATGATGGGAGCACCAACTGGCACTGGACATCTTTTCCAATACATTCTCATTTAAAAAAAAAACCTGACCAGACAGAAAATTCCTTCGGGAATTGATCTGCTTTCCCTTGCAAATGTTAGCTGACACAAATGACAAGGTTGGATTCTTCCATGCCAGGAGGTGCTTTGGACCACGGAAAACAGAGACCCACCAGTATAAATCCGAATTCACATAAATTAACTCCTGATCATTACAGCACTGGATTGCACGGCAGCTCCAGCTTCCCCAGGACTAACGAAGAAGTAGCATGCTCTATGTCCTAACATGCCTCCCTAGAGCCAGAATTTCCCATCACTCCCACCCCCTCCTACCCTATTTTTAGAAACCCAAAATATGAAGATCGAAATCTGATTGGTCCTGATCTAAGTGAGTAACTGAAAGAGCAACTCAGGTGGGAAATTCCCTCAGCCTACTGGGAGCAAAAATGCAACACAGGAATTCTGGAATGCAACTACTTCACCAGCAATTTTGCCACAGAGAAAAAGTTAAAAATCACATTACCTATACTCAAAAAATAACTAGAGCAAACAGAGCAGTAAGTCTGGGGGACCCCAGCAGGCAAAACGTCTGTATGCATCTTAGTGATTCACCTATCTATCCCCTTCCCCCCACAAACACACACACTTTCAAACCCACACACCTTTGTCATCTGCCTTTGCTTACATAACAGTACATGGGTTAACAGGCTTGATATTCTATATGGTTTTCTGGAAAGGAACATGTAAGTTAAAAAAAAAAAGAAAGAAGCTTGCTTTTTTCAGACCCTTTCTCAAGTAATCTATTAAACCTCAACATGAAATAGATGACAATAATCCTACCCCACTTCTTGGTCTATCATAAGACAAATAGCTAGTTTCTCCATTTGAGCTGCCCAAACCAGGCAATATCTTGACCCTATCTGCATAACACTGATTTTTGCCTTTTAGTGTGATGCATTACAGTGGAGAGCTTCCCTTCTACACCTTTCTGGCTAGAGTAGCTGCCAGCACCTACCACCTTTACCTTTCTCCTGATCACCCTCCCCTACCCCCAGTAATATAATTCCAGGGAGGGATTATGATTGTGTTCCCCTTAATAATGGGTCTCAGCAGTATTACACCAACAATAAACTGTTGGGCACACACCACACTGTTGCACAAAAGACACGCAGGCAACATAGATCATGATACTAAGGATAGGTCTCTAGTTAGACATATACACACATACATGCTAATATATATGTATATGTATATATCACATATATACATATACATATATATACATATATTTCTTAGTTGCAGGTTTTGTGACCATAATGTTTCCTCCTAAGTCTAAAGCTGTTCTTCGCTTCTACCTGTCAGAGTGATCTCGGTTCTTAAGTTAGTGCCAAGGTGCCACCTAGAGAAATCTGGGGGATTGGAAGAGTGGTGACTAAGGCAGGCAGTGACTGATGGGCAACTTTAGGGACGACTCTCAGGTTACCTGGATTTACCACCACCACCACACCCCTACTCTGAATTAAAGGACCAAAGGACCCTTTCTTCTCTCCAGTCTGGTTTCAGAAGCTCAGCCCGAGGACGGGGTGGGAAAGGAACAGGCTCAGACTCCAGACACGAAGCTGTGCAGAGGATAAAGATTCCGAGGGGGGAGGGGGGTGAAGGAGAGAGAGAAAAGAGAAGGGAAGCTCGGCAGGTGTCTCCCACTTCCTGACATTCGTTCTGAAGGAAAGAGAATGGAGTGGGTTTGGCGAGCACCTCAAAGGGACTTGGAGATCACCGGGTCTCCTGGGCTTCTCTCTCCTACCTGTAAGAGACCTGCTTCCGGAAAGTTAAGTTTCTCAGCTTCTCCTCCAGAGCCTCGTCCTTCTCCTTCTGGCCCGTGGCCTGAGGCTCCTCCAGGGCGGCTGCTGCTGCTGCCGCCGCCGCCGCCACCGCTGCCGAGGCTCCAGCCCCTGCGCTCCGCGTGTCCGGTACACCGCCCTCGGCTCCGCGGCAGCAGCTCCCGCCGCCGCCGCCGCCGCTTCCGCTGCTGCTGCTGCCGGCAGCCCCTTTCTCCTCTCCGCTCCCTGAGCTAGTGTTCATGGTGACGGCCCCAGGAACCACGGACGGAGCTGAGGTGGACCGGCTGCAAGCGGGGCCGGGGCCGAGCGGCGACGACTGCAGGAGACTGGGCAGGTCAGCGCGCCGCTGGCTGGGGCAGCAAATGGCAGCCCCTTCCCGCAGCATCCATCCGCGGCTGCACCGCACCGGGGCATTGTGGGAAACTCCGTGCCTCCACTCCCCCTCCCCAGCCAATCAGGGCCCGCCTCCCTCGGCCCTCCCTGACACCCCCCCACCCACCTCTCCCCCCACCACACACATATGCACCCGCCCCTAGCCCACTGTCTTTTCCCTAGGATAGAAAAAGAACCTGAGAGGTAAAAACAAACCCTGCCCTATGAGAGGCTGGAGAAACTAAGGAAAAGAGAATTGGGGGGGGGGGACTGGGAGCGGGGCCGTGAAGGCGGGGTCAGTGGGGCTGGGAAACGGGGAATCCTAGAACCTCAGAATTTTAGAGCTGGGGAAAGGCCTTAGGGATCAACTACTCAGCCCCTTCATTTTATAGATTAGGGGACCTAGTCCCAAAGAAGAGCTTTCTCCAATCTCTCAAATTTAATTAGTAACCAGCCCTAGACAAAACCAGGGCTCTCTCCACTAAGATGGTCAGCGCCAACATATCGAGATGAAGATCTCTCTGTAGTGAGAGATTTGTGGGGAGTAAGATCTGGGAATATTTTTGAAGGAATTTCACACTTTTGGGGCTTTCCTTGCTCCTCCCTGGAATTCAGAAGAGTTCTGTTTTTCTCCATAGCTCCATTTTAAAACATCTCTACTTGGCAAAGATCCTGTTATGCCTTCACACCTGTTTGTCTGATTGTGTACACATCACAGGTTGAACTGTATATCCTCCAACAGAGCAGAAGAAAAAGAAAATCCAGAGAAGGAATGGTTATCAGATACAAAGTGAAATCTGACTAAGAGACAGCTAGAAGGGCAAGGTGGGGACTTTAGCCCAAGAGAATTCTGATATTGAACAGAATCAGACTAATTTCAGAAAGAAATCTGAGCTGATAACTTTTACAGGAGCTCACAGCTTATCTCATCCCTGTCCTCTTTTTTATAATGGAAAAAAAAAGGTACAAATTGCCCATGGTATGAAAGGATATATGTGCAGTGATATAAAGAATCTTCCATGACCTTATGTTTCAAACAAAAAGCTTTGTTGCAGAAAAACATGAAAAAGACATGGACAACTGAATAATAAATATCCACCAAACACACACACAAGAATAAATATTTACCTTTCGTACAAACCAAGGCTAAGCGTAGGGTGGGGTAGGGTAAAGGGAAGGACAATCATTGCTAGAGTGTCACCCTAGCCTAGCCGGAGATGAGAGAAAGCAGGGAAAGTTTGAGAATTGGGTTCTCCCTGTGGAAACTTGTGCCTTTATTTGTTACATTTCGCAGGAGACCTTTCACGATATGTGCAATAAAAATGTACTTGTCGACACACCCTCCTATCCCTCCTATTGTATGTTGCGCTCTCAGACAGTTGCCCACCTCACCTACCCCTGGCCTTGGCTCTGGAGATAATCTCTTTCTGACTTATGTAGTAACACATAACACACTTCCCAGAGGATGTAGGATTTCAGGACTTGCTTAAATAAAGACAAGTACACAGTTTTGAGGACAGGCTTAGGGTCTGAGAATTCCTGGCCAAATGAAAGGAGCTTCAATCAAATTAACCTGAGATGAGAGGAAGGAAAGGGATAAGGAAGATGAAAAGGACCTTGTCCATAATGGCCTGATGAAGTGAAGGGTGGGGACTTTGAAAGCTGCTTTGGGAGGTTTTCGAAGAGAGGATTAGAAAAAAATCAATCAGCAAATATTTATTGAATATCTCAACACAAGTATTCAAATGGATATGATCTCATCCATGTAGGTACTCCTTACTATGATACAGACTACCACCCACCCATACCACACCTGCTTATCCTGTGTGATCCTGTCCTTCTACAAGTTCATCAGAGAGAGCCCACCCAAAGCACTGGAGGTTTTCCTCTCTTTCTCTTTTCATTGTTAAAATACCAGCCAGTGGAATCTAAAGACTATACATTTCTCTCTTGCCACATGACCATTCTGTCTTCACAAATTTCTTTGATGACATCTTTTACCTCAAATTTCGTTTAGTACCCATAGTGTGCGTAAACATTTTCTAGGTTCTTGGACAGATAGGAATTGGTGTAAAATCAACTAACTCAATTCAACTAACATTTTTTTTTAAAAAGAAGGCATTCTACTGGGCACTGAGAATGCAAAGACAAAAGGCTATTACTTATCAAATGTCCCTTACCAGCAAGGGAAGGGTAATGGCAGGAGTTGGATCTCATGGGTTCTTAGATTTGGAACCGAAAGAGCCCTTAGAGGTTATCTACTCCAACCTCCTCATTTTCCAGATGATGAAGCTGAGATCCCGACTAGGGGGCAAAGGGGGCAGAGTTATGAACTTGGAGTCAGGAAGAACTGAGTTCCAACCCTGCCTCAGACACACACTAGCTGAGTAACCCTGGGCAAGTGACTTACCCTCTCAGTGCCCTAGGCAACTCTCTAAGGAGTGAATAAATGAAAATATATTTATTAAATGTTTACTATGTGCTAGGTACTGGGAATACAAATAGAAAAGGGAGATGACCCCTGCTCTCAAAAAGCTAACATTCTTTTTCTTTAATATTTTTATTTTCAGTTCCAAATTCTCTCCCTCCCTCTACCTCTCTCCTCCCCATTGAGAAGGCAAGAAATATGATATCTATTACACATGTGAAGTCATACAAAATCTATTTCTGCATTAGCCATGTTCTAGAAGAAAAAAAATCAATAAACATTTATTAAGCACCTACTATGTGCCAGGCACATAGTGCTAAGCACTGAGGATACAAAAAGAGACAAAAGACAGTCTCCACCCTCAAGAAGCTTATAATCTAGAGGGGGGAGGGGAGGGAGAGACAACATGCAAAGAAATACATACAAATCAAGCTATGTGTAGGACAAATAGGAAAGAATTAACAGAGGGGAGGCAGTGGAATTAAGAATTGGACAAGACTTACTGAAGAAGGTGGATTTTAGCTGGGACTTAAAGCAAGCCAGAAAGGTCAGTAATCAGAGGAGAGGAGGGAGACCATTCCAGGCATGGGGAACAGCCAGAAAGCATGCCCAGGGCCTAGAAATAGAGCATCTTCTTTGTGGAATAGGAAAAAAAAGCCAAGAAAAATAAATGAAAAAGATGTGCACTTCACTTAAATGTGCACTCAGTGCCATCAGTTCTCTTTCTTCACAGGCTCGCATAACGCAGGATATTTCTTCATGGGTCCAATCCTTGTCTTTTGGGTTTATGCCACCAGATGGTTCCTGGTTATGGCTTATGGTTATGGCAACCATCTACGTTTTCCCCGGCTTTGAATATAGTGTTAGAGCTTATACTTTTGCATGGAAGTAGACTTTCTATTTAAAAGGATGATGCGTATTAAAATAACAAACCAACAATATTAACTACAGATTCAGTTATAAATATTTCTCTCGAACTCATACTGTGTCCATCTCCTCCTCCTGACTCCCCTTGTTCAGTCAAGGACACCAGCTTTCTCTCTGGTGACAGAGGCTGGAAACCTGTAGTCAACTTGGAATCTTCTGCCTTCCTTTTGCTCCCCACAGCAATCTGTTGCCAGGTCCTCCAGATTCTACTTCTGAAGTGTCTCTAGGATTGTCCCTTCCTTTTAATTCATACTGCTGCTTCCACTACCATAGTGAATGTTCTTTAGTGATAATCTCTGAAAACAAAACTACCAATTGTTTCATTGCATAGGGGAAAGAGTAATTGGGCTTGAAGGCAGGAAAGCCTACGTAAAAATCTGTCCTCTGATACTTGCTCAATGTTTGACTCTGGGCGAGCCAATTAAACTTTCTTAACCTCTGTTTCCTCATATGTAAACTGGGAACAACAATAATATCTACTTCATAAGGTTTTTGTGAAGATCCATTAAAATAGGTACTTTGCAAACCTAGCAGACTTAATTTGGCAAGCATTTATTAAATCCCTGTTGTGTGCTAGACATTGTGGTAGCACTAAGGATAAAGAAATACTTAGCACAGTACCTGTAACATAAGAGTTTCATAAATGTTTAGTGACTGTCTGCTCTCAAGGAGTCTACCATCCTGTTGGAGGAAAGCAATAAGTACAATGGTAAATAAATAAAAATATATATATGTTAATTTCCAAGAGAAAGCCTCAGGTCTAATAAAGTATGAAGGACAGTTTGTTATAGAATAGGATTTCCTGAGGGCATGAGAAAAGGCTAGAGAAACATGGGATACAGACACTGAGGAATATGGGTGACAAGGCTGGCCACGAAGGAGCAAGGAGCAGTTCTCTGGGGAAGGCATAGCATAGGCAGAAAGAGATTCAGAATCATAGGTATTCTAAATGGAGACATAGGGTAATAAATTGTTATGTTCTCAGTTTCAAAGGTAACGTGATTGATTATTAATCATTAAGGAAAGTGGGGTAGGATGAAAGAATGTAAAAGGTAAGCCCACGAAGTTACAAAGTCAATGTCTGGTTCCTGGTCTTATTTCTTGGTAGTCCAGGCATGGGTTAGTGGATACCTGGGGCCAAGACATGTAAAGGGGTGAAGTATACTCATGGTACTTACCTTCAACCAGGTTAAAGCTACCCCAGGATTCATGCCAGCGTTGAATAGACTATTTCCCCAAGGTAGGGAAGGACATAGGAAGAAGGGTCTTTGTTCTGGGATTGGTGGCTTATATGAACAGATGAACATATTCCAAGCCCTAGTTCTACCTGACAGTCAAGTGAAGGATCTCTGGGCCCAGGCTAATTATAGAGGAGTTAAGTTATGCTTGAGGTACTCAATCTTATCCTGATCAGGTCATATAAATGCAAGCTATTATTACTAGATTTACTATTATTACTATTACTATTATTCCCAGTCAAAAGGAGGATATGGATGCTACTTTCATACAGTAATTTACAAAATGGGCATAGAAGCAATCTTTCATGGGGATGGAGCATGTCTATCAGCAGCAGCATTATTATTATCATTATAAGAGTATTAATAACAATAATATTTTATATAATGTTTTAATAATTATACAGCACTTTATGTATGCTATCATATTTGATCCTAACAACA